TCCACACCACCCAGCCACCCCCCCCCCCCCCTCACTGCTGCCGTACTTTTCGGTTTAATATAAGACAGTCTTCAATTGTTCGCGACCTCGTTCCTGAATATTGGTTGTACCGTTGTGGTACATGAGTTTGTTGGGGTCAACCTATTCAAGTCTCTACCCCTGGGGTGCTCCGGGCTCCATTGTTCGATGTTCGAATCTTGTCACTGCTACGCAACTTAATGCTCAAGAGCTCGAATGTAATTCGGTCATTCATACCACATCTCTCCTATTTGGACACGATGTGGTTCGCTACTCTTCAGTACGTGCGCTGGTGGCCTGGTGGTAGTCTCACCAAATTATCACCCCGGGGGAGTGTTCGAATCCCACTACCACCGCCTGTCTTTCCTCATAATGTGTATTGTATGGCAGCCTTTTGATTGGCCGCTTCCCCCTTCCTGAAAATTGCATCTTTGTATATCCGATAAAAGGAAGTAAAATAAAAAGGTACAAGGTGCCGTAGAATGCGTTTGAGTGATCATGCTTTTCGCACCATGTGCTCACAGTGTGTGCATGTAACATGTAACGTATTTCACGTACCCACACCGACCATTCACGATCGCGTAAAATCAAACACCGCGCGCACACATTCACTGTCGCCTCACGTACGCATTGCGTATCCGTGCGACGCCTGTTGTCGTTCCATCGTAGTTGTTGCAGTGCAGTAAACTCCGAAGTAACTTCATGAAATCATGTCTTCTACGGCGGCAATCAGAAACATTCATGGAGTTGGCTTAGCCTTTCAAAAGAGCCAGTCGTAGTAAAGTTAAGTAGTTAAGTAAGTAAACTGTTGCGCACACGGCATGTATTATTATATTATAATATAGTTCACACTTGTCTGAGGCCAGACTGTGTGCCAAGCAAACCATGGTACAATAATCTTTATAAAAGGAAAAATGTTCCATGATTGGCTTGTGGGCTGAGTACTGCCAGGTTGCCCAGGCCAAGGCAGGTAAATTTTCTTGAGGAATCCACAACCGGAGCCTTCGGCTAGCCAAAGCGTGACCCGCAAGGCAGTGGGGCGGTGTGCGAAAACTGCAGTCCATTGGGAGCCGGTGTCCAGTTCATCGGATCATACGCCTTTCGGACGGGGTCAGACGTCCAAGGTGCCCAATCGAGCCGGTGACCACTGCCACACCGAGGTGGGTGGGTATGAGTGTGGTTCGTACGCCTCTCTCCTTGGTTGGTTTGGAATCAGGGTATTGGACCAACTCCTCTAGGTGAGCTACTACCCGGACGTCGGCGCTTTGTCCTTTCACTTTGGTGGGGAAACACTTCGCCCAACGAGAAGGTAGTGAGTGAGTAGGGCTTCCTCAGCAGGAGCTATTTGAGACGCTCGGTCGTATGGTAGCATTTCGCGTGGTGTAAGGAAAGAGTACCCGTTGCGCAACCGTAGACTCCCATCCCCTACCATACTGAGGATTTCGGAGGCATGCATGCCTATTGAGACACGCTTCAAAGCACAGGGCATAGATTGCCGCTTCTCGAAGCTGATCCGTGGGTTCATGTGACCATGGGTTTCATCTGTTCTATTGTTCATCACTCTAAGGTGTGCATCAAAAAGTAAAAATGGTTCTGTAGTGAATCCTGATTCGTTTTTATATTAGTCACTATCTGCTTACTGTCCGAATCGTGGGATGAATGAGCGGTGTGGGTCCGAATTCCCTGTAGTTCAACGAACAGGAAACCATCAGTACTGTCCAATCGGACGAAATGTTTCTCCATTTCTTCCACATGCCAATATTCGCAATCACGTGATTATATCTATTAGTAGTGTATTGAATATATAAAGTATTTCAAATACTTGAGCCGAGTGCGAGAGAAACAACCAACGACTTCACGTGGTGGGAGTGGCTCCTGTGTGATGCTGAAAACTTTTATTCTTTAAATGCGCCTAGTGGCTGGAAAATCTGTTTGATTCATTACAAGAGAAAGGTGGAGATTACAGCACAATTACAGTGCCCGATCATGAGGAATGTAAATTCATCAAAATAATTAAGAATCGAACTCGAAACTGTCAGGAACTTCGGACTCCGGTTAGATTATCGCTGTGTTCCACTTTTCCGTCACACGATATAAGGTCGAAGTTTTGCTATGGGAATTATTCACAGTCGCATGCTTCTCTTGTCTCCTCCCTATAGGATATTTACACAGTTGAATCGTCCCTAGGCAAAATCCACACACATCACATAGCTCCGGATAGGAGATAATACAGTATAGTTTTTAGTGGTGTAGCGATGTAAAGTGTGCCAGGGTTTCATCGAGTTTCCGTTTGAAAGATTCAAAAGTTGGTGCACAAACGACGTGAGACGGAATAGTGTCCCAAGTGGTGCACGCATTGAATGTAAAATAATAAAAAAAACATTGGCAATCTTAGTGTCAGTCCTTTGTGGATGCTCCAGCATCTGACGATCACGTTCTTGCCATGCGCTCTAGGTTGAGAGAAACATTGAATTCAGTCTCGTTCACCACAGACCATTGATAATCGGGGTGCAGTGTTTTTTGAATGGATCTTGAGCACTGGGGTCTTAGTTATTTTCATTTCAGATCTTTGTGTCATCTGCAAATCGCATTGTTATTGGTCCTATAACACGCGGTAAATCATTTATGAATGTGAATAATAGTCCGAGACCAAGTACAGAGACCCTCGTGAAACTCCGCGAGTAATGTGGATAGAACTGCATAGGGGACCACTAACACGAACTGATATGATCCATTGTCGAAAGAGTGCTTTAATCCAATCAAGCACGTGCCCTCGAGAGCCGTAATCGTAAAGCTTCTGCAACAGTAGTCGGTGGTCTCGCCCACCCCTGATCAAATGCTTTCGAGAAGTCTAGATAAATCAGATCTCCTCATCGACTATTCCGGTCTATTCATTTCGGACAAGAAGCGAGTTGATTGAATGGTCTCGTTTTTCCAGAACCCATTTTGAGCTGGTGGAAGAATGATGTGTCATTGTACGTGTTCCATCAGGGAATCTGCCACAATTGACTCGTTATCTTTCGGTAAAGCTAGAAGGAAGGTTACAGGTGGGTAGTTAACGGGGTCACTGTAACGATCACCTTTGTATATGGGTGAAATAATTCCTTGTTTCCACAGTTGCGAGAGCGCTGTTTGATCAAACATCCGTTGGAGTAGAATGGTTAGTGCTTTGGATAAGTGATTTGTTGCAAGACCTGGTCTCTGCGACGAGATGACGTCCAATGACTATCCATATTCGACATCCGTTGTCTGCGCAACATCGCCCGCGTGTCGTGGGAGTATCGCGTGGATAATGATGAGGTCAAACGACGGGGTGCCAGGATCAGATATTCTTCCGTTGGGCAAAATAATTTCATAACATCGTCTTAAGTGGTTAGAGCACGTCCTACGAATGCCTAAGCAACGTCTGCTATACCGTGCACTATTCGCAAACATCGTTCCCGGGCTGAAATAAACAGCGAGGGAGACAGGCTGTGACGTGGCGCAGACGGTTAAAGAGATTATGCTCGGATCTGCCTTCCGTTGGAGCTCTCCGGGTGGAGCCCCAAAGATTTAGGTTGTCTTTTGCTGGACACACTGTGGGATAAGGTATCGAACCGAAGTCAGTGGTGTGAATGCATTCTTTTCTGTGTGCAATCCCAAGAATAAACAAAGTCGAAAAAAACTCCAAATGGTGTGCAATCAGCAAACAAAAAATGTTTTATTCTCTCAAATTTGCTGTTTTTTCCCCTGCTTTTGTACCTCTGTTTTTTGTTAACTCGTGATTGTTTTTGCACCGTATCCGTAAAGATTGGTATATATATGTACATATATTACATTAAGTAGTACATGAATGACTGACAAATATTGCCCTGGAAGCAAACGACCAGTTTCTCGGTTCTTGCTGCTCGTCAGGCATGCGTATCCGGTAATCTTTTACTGCCTCATTCATACACTTGTACCCAAGAAATGTATTTTCTTCACAATAACCGTGTTTGCAACAGCGAGTGACTTTTGGATAGACAGCTCTTTCAGAGTCAGCCCATTGAATAATCAATGCTATGATTCCGTGTTTTGCAGGTGTGTTAGATATATGCGTTTAAATCCTTCTTAGAGAACCTGATGGTAAATCACCACTTT